GCTCTCACGTCGCGAGCTAGACGAATGTCAATTCTGTGCGAGCCAGGTTGGAGATGCAGAACAGGAGGCGCCTTGCGATAAGTATAGAAATCTCCCCCAAAGTAGTGCTGGTCATCTACCCAGAATTCCAGAATAGTATCTGTGTGTAAGACTAGGTGTTGAGTCTCGTTGCCGCCGACGTGAAGTTCGCCACGAGCCCAGGCCTGATATTGCACGGCAGCCCATCCATATACGACCTTCAGGAAGTCCCAGTCAACGTTTGAATAGGCCACACTCAAGGAGGCGTTGGCCGACGTAGCATCGCTCATGGTCCTCACGGCTTGGGTGACATTCCACGATGCGGTTCCGTTAGTGGGCAATGAGCTTCGGAATGTTGCTTTGGGGTCATATTGGAGGTTTCTGAAGCCGCCATAGTACTCGAGTGGATCTGCGCCCCATGTCGCCTCTACAAAATGTCGGTATATCGTCTCCAGGCTACGTGGGCGATGACGTACCTCGAGTTCCCATCTGAAAAGGCCCCAGGACGTGCCATGTATCGCTGAAGGAGAACAAGGAGACACTCTCCTGTCGGCTTGCTAGTGGGGCCACGAGCGGCTCATGTTCCGTAGCACGACCCAATTGCAGCAGGAACAGGAAAGTACAGAGTAGGTGCGGCAGCGACGGCCGGCTCATCGGAACGAACATGTTCTGGTGTATACAGAGGCTCGATACATGACGAGAGGGAGAGATGGCGCTTTTGAAAAGCAACGTTATCGCGGCGGAAGATCTCTACCGGACATAGCAGGTGGTGAAGGGTTCATGGACAGAGCTTGGCTGACGATGGGCGGTGGTTTGGAATCCCTGTCGCCTCCTGCCCTAGCTATCAGATCCGAACCGCCTCCGGAACGCGTATGTCACTAACCAGACAATTCTCCGCTAATTACGGATCCATTGCGACGCTTGCCTTCAACACCACGCTTCGTGGAATAATCCTTCGCGACGATCCACGGTACCCCTCCATCGCTACCGCTGCTTGTGCCACCCTTGTGCTCGTACATGTAGCAGGAGTGCGCCACGGTTCCGCGCATATAGTACAAGTCGCCTACAGCATCGGTTCCCTCCCCATGGCGTAGCGAATACATCTACGACACCCCAACCACCTTGCATCCCGCAGTCGTCATGACGCCTCCGTTGGCGCGGGACTCAAGTCCCAACGCTACCTTCAAGTTTCCCGCTTTCCAGCCCGATCTACTGCCCACGCCCGAGGAAGACCACATATACGGTCACACGTCGTCGCGCTCTGCCAGTCCTAGCCATGCAGCGCAGACGAATGGCAGTACGATACCAGGCGACAGGTGGCATCCGCGCAAAGAGGCTAGGTTCGGGGGCATCAACGGCTCAGCGTCGACCTCTTCAAACAGACATGGACGACAGAAGAGCCTGTCAGAGGCCTTCAGGACTATACGGACGCGAAAGGGCAGTGTCAGCCAGAATGCGCATGAACTTGCAGACGCGCTCAAGGCCCCACTATCGCCAAAGCTCATTGTAGGTCGCGATACGCATGGTTTGCTATGGCCTATGGCTAACAGGCGCAGGTGCTCTGCGGTGTGTGGTACATGACCTCCATCTTCACCAACATGTCTTCCAAGGCCATCCTGACCGCCCTACCGAAGCCCATTACCCTCACGACCGTCCAATTCGCTTTCGTATCCGGTTGGTGCTTGATACTCGCCATGTTCGCTAGGAAATACCCACGCCTAAAACAGACGATGCCTTTCCTGAAGTACGGCATTCGTACCCCATCCAAGGAGCTGATCATGGCGACGCTGCCCTTGACATGCTTCCAGATCGGCGGACACATTCTGAGTGCCGATGCTACGTCAAGGATACCTGTTTCGTTGGTACACACTATCAAGGGACTTTCGCCGCTCCTGACGGTCATGGCATACAGCATCTTCTTCAAGATCCAGTACTCGCTACCCACATACCTTTCCCTCATCCCACTCACCCTAGGAGTCATACTGGCATGCTCGGCCGATTTCAATGCAAATCTGATCGGCCTGATGTCCGCCTTTGCCAGCGCCATCCTCTTCGTCGTTCAGAACATCGTCTCCAAACAAATCTTCAACGACGCCGCAGCTGCTGAGAAAGACGGCCTCCCACCGAACAAGTTCACCAAACCGGATAAACTGAACCTCCTCTGTTATTCCTCTGGCCTGGCCTTTCTCTTTACTCTTCCACTTTGGCTTTGGTCCGAAGGGTTTACTCTTATCTTTGACTTTCTGCATGACGCTTCTATCGAGCTATCAGACCACCCTGAAGCTTTAGATCACGGGCGCTTGCTACTCGAGTTTCTTTTCAACGGCACTTTCCATTTTGGACAGAACATTGTAGCCTTTGTTTTGCTATCTATGGTGTCACCAGTTACTTACTCGGTTGCCAGCTTAATCAAGCGCGTCTTTGTCATTGTGTTCGCTGTTGTCTGGTTCGGCAAACCCATGACAAAAGTCCAAGCGTTTGGTTTTGTGCTCACATTCGTGGGTCTATATCTCTACGACCGCACGCACGACGCCGCGAAAGCAGATAAACGCGCAAAGGCCCTGCAGTCCAAGAACAGCGGTTCCCTACTCCCATTGGCCACAGATGTCAAGTCACGACCAGTCTACACTGCCAGTCCATCATCCATACCGGATACTGGAGCGTATCCAATGCCCGGTTTTCACGAATCAAGAGAAGAGAAAAGACATGATGATTCTGGTAGTTCGGGCTATCGTAGGACGTCTGAACAGGGCTCGCATTACCTGCCCCCAGGGACCAAAGCGGAGGATACTTGGCGGCCTAACGACATGAATGGAAGAAGGGGTATAGGCGTTTCATGAGCATTTACGAATCTATTTGTTACATTCTGATGAATCTCTCCTCCCGTACCAAGTGCTACAAACAAGCATTCTGACCAGCGAGTTAGAAGGAATCCTGACTATACTGATGAAGATGCATAAAGGACCGAATTACATGCCGAACATCAAGAATCTTCGATTCGCCGAGATGACCGATCAAAACTAGGAGCCGTCGATCTACTCCGTCATATGTGATACAACGGCCGCTCCAGGACTTTGCTGACGCGTCAGCCATTTGCAACATCCAGAGTCCGAAAAGCGATGAATAAAGCGAATACCAGGAGGCAAGTTGAACATGAGCTGACATTGCAATCACGCCGTACATACAGCCGCTATTCGCATTACCGCCTCCAGCCCCGAACCGAACAAAGGAGATACTCCTCGCAGCATGCAAAACCAAGCAGAGACCCTGACACCTGTAGAGACAAAGCAGACGTAAAGTGAGCGACTTCCTGGACGCCAAGTTTGGGCATTTGCATCATCTCGTCTTGTATCCCACGCGTTAAACGTGAAGCGTATTGTATCGTAGTCCTGCTCGCCATATCCGAGCTTTCCCTCCCTCGCTGCTTCGCCAAAACATGCATTGCAACCCGGCGCAAACAGATTGTAGGTGAAGAGTATTTGTAGATTTTCGTTATCGTCTAGCAGCATCCCTTCTTCTGCTCCGCGTCGGCCGACTTGCTGATCTCGAGCACCTTGCGGTCGTTGCCGAGGACGGGGCCGCTACCCTCGCCCTGGTCGAGCGCTTTGCTTGAGACGATGCGGTAGATTTCTGGAGCAGTGTTAGCAACGGCTCATGCTAACGATATTTGCGGCTGAAGTGCCAACAAAAGTGGCGGTGTAAACACATGTCCACTTGGGCCAACCAATGTCACTCCAAGCTTTGCGCCAACCACTGTTGTCGCTGCTACTTGTTGTTTATAGTAGAGTAACGTACCTGTGAGAATGTTCTGGAAGGCAAGCTCGACGTTGCTGGCGTCCAAGGCAGACGTCTCGATGAAGGAAAGGTTGTTCTCGCCTGCGGAGAGTGTCAGCATACATGTCGAAGGCTGTATCTATGCAGACGCCACTGTCACAGGATGAGTAAACGTACTTGCAAACTGCTTGGCCTCCTCTGTTGGCACTGCCCGCAGATGCCTCAAATCGCTCTTGTTACCCACGAGCATGATGACGATGTTGGAGTCAGCATGGTCGCGTAGCTCCTTCAGCCACCTCGTCACGTTCTCATATGTCTGGTGCTTGCTGATGTCGTAGACAAGCAGAGCGCCGACCGCGCCACGGTAGTATGCAGAGGTGATGGCACGGTATCGCTCCTGGCCGGCGGTATCCCAGATCTGGGCCTTGATGGTCTTGGCGTCAACTTGGATGGAGCGGGTAGCGAATTCGACGCCGATGGTCGACTTGGAATCGAGGTTGAACTCGTTGCGCGTGAACCGGCTCAACAGGTTGGATTTACCGACACCAGAGTCTCCGATGAGCACCACTGCGGGGGTTAGCGGGCGACGAGACCAGGAAGACTAAGGTGGGGGAGAAAGTAGGTACCCTTGAAAAGAAACTATGTGCACTATCGTCAGTATGCAAGAACACATAGGGCCGCTGTCGTACGGAGACTCACGTCATATTCGTCGTTCGCCATTGTTGCGGTAGGTGGGGAAGTGACAGGTGGGCAGGTGGAAGTCTCAGTCGATGTGTCGGCGAGAGTCGTGAAAGCAGAGCCTGGATATCTTTGGGGTATCAAGGCAAGCAGAAAAGCTCAGAATCAGGTCGTCGTGGGTAGTGGCCAAGTACTGCGCTATCTCGCTGCCTCGAGGAGTCGCTGCTCCACCGTCAAAGCACCAGCCAGCACCCCAGGAGCGAACAAGCCTATGCCTTCTTAGGTAAGCGAGGCGCTAGTCTCCGCGCCCTCGCTCATTCCAACACCTCCATGTCTGCTTGCGTCGCCGCAAACATCTCGCCTTTGGACATGCACCTAGATAGACACAATTGCCCTCTAGTTTCTTGTTGCAACCCGAATGACAGCAGCGACCCGACGCGTAATCAGAGAAAGACCTGACGCGTTGTCTGCTACTGCCCTTAACCAATCAGAAGCTGGCATAGCCATTCACCTCTATAGCGTTCGCCAGAATGTCACTGCACCCTGATGAAGACGAGCTCGAGGAAGAATACGACGTAGAATGTATTCTGGCGGAGAAGTGGCAGGACGCCTGGGATGTGCATCCGTTCGGCGCGGCTACGAAGTACTTGACCAAATGGGAAAATTATCCACTTGAGGAGTAGGTCTGCCTCGTGGTGTCGTTGAATCAAGCTAACCAGCCTTGAAGGTGTAAGTATTCTACCATTGCCCCTCAAAACTCTATAGCCCCTCTGAAGAACAGGACCAAACCGTGCACCGTTCCGTTCCAGACAAGCATCCATCGCGTATCTCTGACGTGATTTAGGCACTTGGGAACCAGCAGTCAACTTCGAGCAGATTACGTCACTACCAGATGAGCCCACAACCACTACCGCGTTGGAACTATGGAACGAAAAGAAAGCGAGTATGAAAAAGGTTGATTTCAAGAAGCTGTGCGAAGATAACATAGCAAAATATGAGGCAGCACTCAACGGCCAACAAGAGGTATCACCTCTAGAAGCTACTCTCGCAGAAAGAGAAGCTGCAGACTCCAGTCAACTCAATCACTTGTTTGCGGGAAGTTCTGCTACGGAAAACTCGGGGCTGTCTGTCAGACAGCCTCCTAAAGCGCGTAAGCCTCCTATAGTGCAGTCAGAATCCTCTTCTTCCGAAGGAGAGTTGACAGATGACTCATTGATGGCAAAGATGGCTACAACGTCGGAAAATACAAGGCATACGTCCATGGGCGTGGAGAGTTCTAATACAGAGCGCCGGCCAATCCAAAATTCAGCTCAATCACTCCGTACCTCATTGAAACGTGCTACGACTACTCCAAACCCGAAGTCAGTCACGAAATCAAGTCTCGCAAGACCAGCAAAGAGCCAAGAGCCTCGAAGATCTTCACTGCCGCAAGCAGACTCAGGTTTCCGAGATAGGCAAACGACGACAGTTTCTACACAACGAAAAAAGAGTAACAACGGTAAACCTACGACCGCTGAAGCTGGTAGTGCCTCCGCTGCTCATGACACTCTGCAATCCAGTAGTACAAGCTCAGGTGCTGCAAAGCGATCAGTCTCTCTTGCGACGCAGCCAAGTGCCCTTAAGACCACAACTAGCTCAGGAAAGAGTAGTGGCATCAGAATCGTAAACGAGCCCAAGCCTCAACCTCGTCAAGCTACTGCCTTGCCAAAGAAAACTCATTTTCAGACACTCCGTCGACACCACGAGGTAGACATGAGGTCCCGTAGAGAGGGCACACCCGATGTTGCTGCTCTCAATTTCGTCAATGCCCCACCTGATCTCATCGTCCCAAAACTGCCGGCACCACACCATGATCCATACGCTCGTCGTGACCCTATTCATAGGCGTATCATTGCAGAAGAGCCCCAGAACGATGAGTCTCCATGGCAAGAGTCTGCTGATGGGAACATACCCTTAGCACCCTGGGAGATTGACAAAGTTCCCCAGGTGTGTTACCAATGGAGGCTTAGCCAAAACTGCACGAAAAGTGCGAGGGAATGCCGCTTTATGCATAGGCATAAGGATGAAAAGGGCCGCGAGTATTCTATAGCTGATATGCAAGGCAGGATACCCGGCAAATACCGCAAACCACCACTCACATGTCCGTTTTGGCTTAACGGGCAGAAAGGTTGCAGAAAATCCGCCGAGGGTTGTCTCTTTGCTCACCAAAATACTGGATGGATAAATCATAGCGATCCCTCAATGGGCGATGTACGAATTGATCCTGACCAGCAACCGAAGCTTGGTAGTATAGAAGACCAGCTGGAAGAGAAGAGGACTACAAGGTCTTTAAATCCGAATCAGCTTACTTGCTGGTACTGGAACAGAGGCGATTGTCGAAATACAGAACAGGAATGTGCTTACCAGCATAGAGAGACTGGCATTGTTGCAAATGCACCACATGAAGGCCATCAGACGTCTGATACTATACCAGATATGGATGACAATATGGATATCGATGATACCGTCCAGCCACCCACGACCAATGAAGCAACACGCATCCCTTCTCCCATACCATCTGGACAACCACAGCAGTTCTCGTTTCAGCCACCACCTCCGCCTCCGCCTCCACCCATTACAAATGAGGTCAAGATTAAATGCGAACAGTTGCGGACGGTCGGAGAATCAGTCTGCGCATTGGACTTTGAGGATATGTTTGCGAGCAATGGCGGCGAGGAAGCTGCCAATCTGCTTGAGAGTAGGGCTTTTCTAATGTACCATCCCGAAGACCATTTTGAAGAGTTGGAGATCATTACTCGATGGTTATTATTGCACCATGTCCAGGTTGCTAGTACGAGCTATCAGGGTGCATGGGCTGTTTTCAAGCAGCAAATTTTGCAAGGAGGTTCAGGCATCATTATAGTGCGTAATCACACATTGCGAGTGAGACTAATGCTAAACTTATCAGGTACATCCGGACGTTGAATACTTCACAGCATTTCCCGGTTTCGGCGAAGTTCTTCGTCAGAACGTCCGTCTCTGGTCGGTTGGGCTTCAACCAAGTCTCGACTACGACCATGCTTTGACAGATGGTCTTCCCATGCTTCAATATGAGCGCATTGAAATTTTCCCACTTGGCGGATTCGTTTACATTACGGAGGAAGTCTTTGAGACGAAGCCACAACTTGCTTTGGAAATTGTCAAGCTTTTCTTCGCAAAGATAGTGAGTCTCAGAGGGCGCGCAGGCCCGCTGGCTCCATGGCAAGAAGTCGACGACGCCAGCTTGTTGTGGCGGCTGTGTGTCCGGCCAGAGTTGATGGAGTATCTATTTCAGAGATGCGAAGACCATGCAATGGATGTGAACGCTGGGGATGTTGACATGCAGAGGTTCGCCCACTACACTCGACCCAATTTGATTTATTGCTAAATTTGACGCAGTTGTGCCAAGCTCTACTCGCTCCTCGCCGAAACCAACTACATCGAGCAAGATGATCCGGTTGTTCCACTAAGCGCTGTAACCGACAAATATCCCATACTCTCCGAGCGCCGGGCCATCGCCGAATGCGAGCCTGTGGATTACTTCAACACAGTCGCTCGTAGCAAAGAAGCCGCCAACCTAAACATGATCCGCTACTATGCTGGACTGCAAGTCGACATGCGTCGCGACTATCGCCATTTCTACGTCGTCCATACCGAGCCAAAGGCAAAGTATGTCCAAGAATGGAAGCAAGAGATTCAGACCATTGCCGATGTCATCACACCCGAGCAATGCATCAATGAAATGCGAAAGGATGGGCAGGACAGCATGTTTGACTTTTACGAACGCTTCATGGCAGACAACGAGAGCTCCAAGGGAGTAGTCAAAGATGGTGATGCAACGAAGCGTGCAGGCTAGAAGTCTAAACGTGTCAGTGAAAGCCTCCTGGCGGAGTTTTGAGTAATGGGCAAAGTTATCAGAACCACTTTTGTACAAGTCTTCCGGGTCGCACGAAGTCAAGTTGCGACTTGCTCTCTATAGGTACGACTTGATGACATTTTCGTTTCCTTCTTAGTGTATACGATACCCTGTGATAGCGTACTAGGAAAATGTTTAACGAGAATAATCATAGGTTCACATGAGCAGATATGGTACGAATGGTGTTGATAGATATATCCCGTGATGCCTCATGATAGATGGGAAAAGCGATGAATGAAGAAGGCAAGTTGGGTATCATTTACTCCACGTTGATGCCTAGCAGGATTATTTCTTTTTACCCTTGGTCTTATCTACAACGTCCACCCAATTCTTATGCACACCTCGCTTCTCCAAAGCCTTCATGATGGCGTCTTTCTGAGGACCCTGGACCATGACTTCCATGACAGGGGCTTTGGGGCTTGATCCTTGCAGTTTATCGACGCTCGTACTACCTGCACATGTCTTTCTCAGCTCATCGGCGAGCGGCTGTGGTGAGATGTAGTATGGTTCTAGACCATGCACCTTGGTCACTGTCTTGTTGCCACTGCGCGTTTCCAGCGTGATTTGAATCTTGGGTGGTGCACCGGCTTTGGGCTTCGCATCAGCAATGTCGGCGTCGTTGCGGATGATGGCGTGGAAGGGGGATGCCGCAGCGACCATGCGTTCAGCCAGGGAGTCTCTGGGCATGACTCCTGACGACAGCGCGGCATTGTCAGCTGCTGACGAAGCGAGTAGAGCATCTGCGAGCTGGGGGTTGATGCGGATGAGACGCTTGTTCTTGGGGTCGATCAAGTTCTCCGCCTCTACGTATGCAATGAGAAGCTGCTTCAGCTCCGCTGGGGTGTAGAGACCGCGCGGGTCTGCTTTGGAGGCACCCAGTATAGGCGCTAGTTTCTCCTTGGGCCGCAGTACCGAGACAAGCTTTAGCTTTTGGCCAACGGAAGACTCGGCGGATAGGGGTGCAGCTGGCTTGCCGTTTGCACTCGCTGCGGCTGGGGTATCCTTCTTTGGCAACCTGTAGGGAACGAACGACTCAACCTGGCGATCCTTGAAATCAATATCGAGTACAACAACCTCATTGCCGTCGCGGTCTTTGCACTTGAGAATCTGTTGCTTGTCTAGATACTTGATAAACTTCTTAAGGTTCTTCCAACTTGTCTTCTTGATCTGGAGCGAAGCGGTGCGCGCGGGGGTGTAGGTGGGGAGGAATGGTTGGACGAGCATGTTATTGACGTTTGATTGCGAGAGCGGGAAGTCGAGGCCGTAGGAAGGATGGCCCTTATTGTGATCCATGTGGTAGCGGACGCCGTACAAGAATGCGTTCTTGAAAGCTTCATCGATTTCTGAAGCTTGTCAGCAGATGATTGATGTAGTGAAGAGGAAAAGGCATACCCTTGGTTGTCAGCTCTTTATCTTCAAGAACGTCGATGAAGTCATTGTTAGATGGCGCATCTTCGCCTTGCACACCCTGTGATTTCTCCGCCTCTGACCGTTGGGTGGGAGTGGCATCGAGAGTAACACCGCCGTCCTCGTCATCCAAGTCTACGGCTGCGGTGCGTTCAGCGAGACTCGCCTCGTCGCCATTGTCGTCGTCCCAGCCGTCGAGGATACCAGGAGGCTCACTGCCCGCCTTGCCTGTTGAGCTCCAAGACCACAGCTCGTCGCCTGCCCAGTGGAAGGTAGAGACAGCAATGCCCTTGGTGCCTTGGGTTTTGCCCAGCGCGCTCACGTCGATGGTGCATTCGCCAACGGCCATGGGGACAGTCGGAGCCTCGAGACTTGCAACGGCGACGATTGCGCCCTTGGTCGCTCTCTTGGGGAAAGGCGGGCCTCGTTGAAGACCAGGCGTCATCAAGTCGGCGCCTCCTTGCATCTTCTCGACGACGACGAGTGGCGTGTATAGCAGCGGGACTATGCGGGGGTTGTGCCAGAGGGTGTAGACGGTAGGGTACATCCTGTCGCCAACCTTGACCCACAGGACTCTCTGATGTCCGCCTGTGCCCTCATGGCTGCCTACGTATATTGTTCCTGACACTTGCTTGAGGTCGGGCCCTGCGGTGGTGGTGAAGCGCGCCGACAGGGCATTCTCTGGGAGTATTGCTTTGCGCAGTGCGGTCAGGCCGGCGGTGGAGGCTGTCTTGTCTTCAGGACTCGCGTCGGTTTCTACGGGAATCTCTATGCCAAAGTCGGCGATGATCTGGTCGGCGGTCCTGCGGCGGTCGCTAGACTTGAGCGGGGAGAGGGGCTTGATCTGGCGAGGGTTAGTCTGAGCGCGAGTACGTGCGGAATTATTCCTACAGTTGGTTTCTTCTTGAACATGTTGAATTACGATGCTTCTGCTGCAGTCGCTGGATGTCGTGAGCTAGGGCGGGACTCTGCGCGCGTCGGCCGCAAATAATGTTGGACGCGGCGACTGTCCATGACTTCAGCGGGGCAGCTAGCGCGTTCTCCCCAAGGCGTTGCCATGTGCCTCACTCACCGTGAGTGAAGGCTGCATGCAGCATGAGTCGAAACACATCGAAGCTCCCCCCCCCCCTCATGCTGACTACTCACTACTCACTACTCATCTGCCGAACCTTTGCGCCTGACATCGTCGCCAACGCCACCTTGGCCGTCGCAATCATCGTACTCGTCCATGCACAGAAGCTTTGTGCTGGACAATTATGCAGTACGAGGTCCACGGATGACCCAGAGACCCGGTCGTCGCATTAGACTTTTGTCACCAGCGAAACTATCGCATTTGGGTGCCGAAGCTACTTTTTCCTTGGTTGGGCTTTTGTTGACGTCGGGAGATTAACCACACCTGCAGGCGCGTGCTGGCCTCACCTGTCGATCCTGAAATCATAACGCTCCTTAGTCGCTTCAGGGCCCAAGACGTCCCTCGGCAGCGACACCAACACCACCATGTACACATGCCTCGACCATTATAGACCATTGGCCTATTTGCGTCGGGCACAGCCTCCGGATAAAACTATCTCACCTCATGTACTCCATAACCATCCGTCGTCGCAAGCTGAGCAGAAGGGTTTACCTGTTGCAGCTGTTGTGCAGTCACGTTGCAGAGACGCCATTCGTTGCTCGTTTGAGACATGTTCTTTGACGTACTACCACCATTGTCCTCCACACAAACAAGGACGCTTAGTGATGGACTATCCTTCAAGCGAAATCAGCCTCGCACACGAAACGACTAGATGCAAGGAGATGAACAATGTAGATAGACTTCGTCCCCAGATTCCAGGACACTGGCCCAGGCCACAGCGTCGGTTGAGCCCCATGTCGCTCACCCGCCGCAACATCCATGCGGCATGCACCTGCCAGCACTCGGCGTTAAGGTAAGCCAGTTCCGGTCAAGGCGTGCTGAGCTTCAATTTTTAGCCGGCCAGGCACCACAACGCGTGTGTTTGTTGCACGGTACGCACCTCTGTGCTGCCATTTACCGCTTTCGCAACAGCTGGGGGGGTTTTTTTCTCGCACGAGCTTGCGCATCCAGTCCCCATTCCATTGCGGAAGTCGGACTGCAAACACTGCAGTGGTTCGTGGTGGCGGGGGCGTCAGCGAAAGACTTGCCGGGCCAGCCAATGGCTCAGGGCCTCGATGCTATGTCGACAACGGCTGGCGTATTTACAGCTTCGACAAACACTTCTTGGCCGCGTGGTGCCAGTGGCCGACTGAGCGCCACGGTCATGATTCAGTCGCACTACGCCTTGCTTAGGCAAAGCACCAACATGCACGCACTCGGGCCCCCGGAGCCTCCAGGATGACGGTCGCCCGTAAAGGTCATGGCGAGATGCGGAGAACTGGCGCGCCACGAGAAACGCCCAGCTGCGCCCGTTTGTTCTTGTGCTCATTCCCCATCTTTCCTCATAAACCCGTCCTTGTCGCTCACAACCACGCCTGCCATGGTAAAAGTGCTGAGATTGACTTTGAAGCTTTTCGCGTTGTGACATCACAGCACGCTTCCTCGGCATCTGCCCCGGCTTCCGGAACCGACATCGAAAATTCTGCGAACACCATGAGTCCCATACCGGATATGCAATGGAAGGAGCATGAAGTGGTGCCCAAGCCCAGTGACCCAGAGGAACTCATACTGGAAGCATGGGCGCAGGGCTATCTGGTTGGGTCCCTCATCATCATGGCCTTCATCACGCTGGCCAACATGAGGCGAGGCGTGCTGTTGCACAAGGTTAGTAGAGAAGCCCTTTGAGCAATGACCACCGCTGACAACCATCTAGTTAATTCTACTCGAAGTGAGTCCACATTAACACGTCTGCTTACGTCCGTACTGATCAGTTCTAGCTCATCCTCGGCATATGGCAAGGATTTTGGCTCTTCTTCCCCAGTCCTGTCCACGCGTGGTGGCTCTCCGTTGCCGCCATCTTCCTAAACGCTTCATGGTCTCTGCATAATGTCATTGCCTGGATGAAGATTAAACCATTTCTCTCCAAGCCTGTCAGCTACATCTTCATCGGCACTGTAATCCTCGCTCAGTCATACTGGATCCTGGAGATATACGCCAACTTCGCCTACTTCCATGGCGTTAACAAGATATTTCTGTCTACACGGCCGTACGAGGCGCTATGTCGCGATCCTTGGTGGATTTTCACCACCATCTATCTCTTCTGGGTCATCAAGACCCAGTACGAACTGAGCCTCAAAGAAATCATACGCATCTCGCCACGTTTCGGCATCATGTTGTTGTCCATGTTGCTCAGCATAATCTTCATCATCCTAGACATTCTTACCGTTACACGGGCTATTGGTCTTCCAGGTCCTACAGGCATCAATCCCTTCTGGAAGTTTGCATTTGTCTTCAAGTGCCTGACGGACTCTGTTGTTCTCGACGATTTCAAGGTGGCGCTCGACCGCCTGCGAGCCTTCAGGATCAGTCGATTGGGCAGCTTTTCGGGTGACATGAGCGATAGTCGGAGTCGTCCTGACAACAACCTTGTCGCCACGTGGGAAGAGATGGAGAGGGAAGCCAACGCGCTTCAGAATGTGCGCAGCCCAGATGGCGACTACATACATCCCAGCAACTTCCCATACAAGCCAAAGCGGGCGCGCAGGCCTCACAAAGACTCAGTCATGTTTCCCAATCAACCGGATTACCGGGACTCTAATGCTGGATTGGATCCGGAAGATATTGTACCCAGTGCGTTAGGTGACGGTCCAATGAGGGCGGATGCACAACCCGTGCAGAAGAAACAACATCAATTTATTGACGACATGGTCAACCACAACAGAAGAGATTTGGTTGCTGAGAACGACTATGCTGAGGCGATGAGGGATATGCAGCGAGATAGTGTATCCACACCTATTCGAACGAGCGAATCTACCCGTCGAGCCACGCCACCAGGCTGAACGACAAAGGAACCTTAACACTCGACACGTGTCGAACGACTCATCAGCAACCGGGAACGGGACGGCACCCATCAGGTCGGCTATAGACATGCCTACCCATGTGGTACACGAGCACACCAGATGCGACCTCAATCCTTGCGCACACCACAATCGGCGCAGTGGACAGGCATAGCCTAATGAAGGCTACACATAGATTTGGGCGGCGGTGGAAGGATAGAAGCAGTCAGTGATACACTTTTGTGAGTTGAGTTGAAGTGATGACAAGCGGCATGTTGGTATGACGGCGTTATGTAAATGCTTGCAGGCATTGGTCAAATTGGCCACATCTATATACCCATTTGCTATTCAGTGATAAGCCATATGCTATATTGCATACGAACTAGGAATCATATACAGAGACACAAACAAATAATTACTATTTACCATCTTGGAGAATACTTGAAGTACCGGTTGACCAGCCCTGTTCCTTCCCCTCGCTTTCATTGGTGGTATGCGAGATCGCCTTGAAAAAGCACATGAGCATCGCGGACAATACAACATTGTGCGAGATTGGTGTTTATCCTCCTTCAATGTAGAGACCTTTCTTCCACGCCAGCTCCACAAGAGGCTGTTTTCTTGAGCCACCCTCATATGTTGCACACACATGACCATTTTCATTGGTGACAATGTTTCTCGTAGCCAAGTAAGGGCTCCAATGTATGTCCTTGGCGAACTGTGGAGCTTTTGACCCAATCTTTGTTCCGCGACAGTGCTCTGCAGCCGTCACGCAATATTTGCCGCTAAGTGCACCAAATAATGTGTCTGCTGATTTCAGGCTGTACTTGTTCCATCGAAGATGCACTTTTAACGCGAACTTCTCCTGTTTTTCATTGGAAAATATCATGTAGAATAGGTTGCTGTGTGGCCCAACGCAGACGAGTACGGATCCGTCGAGGAAGCCAGGCCAGCGTTGCAAGACTGATGGCCACGAGCTTGCGAATGAGTATCCCATAATGCTAACTGAGGAGATATTTATGATGAACGAAGGTCTAGAAGAAGGCGCGTCGAGTCGTGGAAGAAGTGGACGACTGTCCCAGACGTTGCTCTCAGTGACCTTGAAAGGATGCCAACCATCATGCCCGATGTATATCAATTTCCATCCACTAGTGTGAGCTATGCCTTTCCAGAAGCCGGTTTTGAAGATGCGAACAGGTGGACAGCCGCTAGCTCTCGCAAACAATTTTCCGTCTCCTCTCAGGTCTTGCTTGAGCAAGATTCCTATACTTGCGAAACGATCTCCATCCTGCTGCTGCTCTTCTACGATGCCTAACCAGATCTTTTCTTGCGCATCAATAAGAACCATGAAAAGCTCGATGTGTAAGCCACGTCCAGTCACGGTAGTATGAGTTCTTGATGTCCGTCGATGCCGCCAAAAGTTTTCCTTTGGATGTTCAAGAAATGCTGCTGGTGATGTTGCAAGGTACGAATCGTTTGGCGAGCAAGGAAGGTTGTATCCCCAAGCCAGAAGGCTTATGTCGTCCGACCCGCTCAGAACAGCCTCTTGCAACCGAATGAAGGCTTTGATACCTTCCCCATACAACAACGGCATATTTATGTCAAGCAGACCTAGCAAACAATATGCCTGGTCCTCCACACGAGTCGTCCTTCGTTTCGCCATCCATGAGAATTTGTATGCTGCTGAAACGAATCGCAGGGACCAACGATGAAGGAGAAAGTATTTGTGAATAGACGTAACATCGCTCAGAAGTGCGATCCATGCTTCGCCAGCCGTATTGCTGGAATCTCTGGTGTTTGTAGGGGAAACTAGCATCCATGCGGTGTCGTAAAATCGTATCAGTCGCGGAGCAAGCAGCTCTTGTAAGGTCCATCCTCTAGTAAACCATCGGCTATTTCGAAAAGCGGAGTCTTGCGCGTAGATATCTGATGCGGATGGTACATCCTGCAAGTAGGCGTAACACACCTTGGAGGCCTCATACCAGCGAAACATAGAATTGATAGCCTCCGAAAGTTCCGCACTGCTCGTCTTGTCAATGCAGCACGTATCTACCCATACCCAGAGTAATCCTTCCTTTGTCGCTTGCTGACAGCACCCTTCTATCTTGGTGTAGCCTTGCTTCTGCTGGTGTCCTTGTCTTGCCAGATCCTGTAGCGTGACTTCTTCCGGTCCCCAGGTATGCGAGAGAATTGCGTACGGAGGTACCGCATCACCAGAGAACTCCTCCAGCTGCCGTGTGTTGACATTGAGCAGTCTCATATTCTGTATATCACATCCACTGATAAGGCTGAGATCGCCTTTACGCAACACTCCTGTCGTGACCAAGATCAAGACGTGAATTAACAAATGTAAGCCGCTGTACAGCGGTCACCTTGAAGAGATGAAGTAGCGTTCTAGAGTGGTAGTACGTATTTATAAAGTCCTTCGCAAGTGAAGGCTACGAGAATAGATAGGTAGTCAAGCTGGGGGGAAGCGTGCTTATTGCTGCATCGATGTTCAGCCGCAGCCACAAACGTCGCGCACCCTCATTCGACTTTTCATGACCAAAACGACAATTGCCACAACTCATACCTGTTAGAAAGTTGAAAGTATAGTCGTAGCGGTGCCTGGACACATGCACGTATGGATTCTACAGTCCCAGAAATGGTTGTAGCCTAAGTCGATGGCCTGTCACATGAGCTGCGCGATTCAGACACGTGCTGCTGACAAGCTAGACTCCAAGTCACTGAACTGAACGACTATGTGCTGAGATCACTTAGAAGGTAATTGAGTTGCGAATCGATAAAGCCGATCTGCGCATTCGTCCGCATGCTTCTAGCGCGGAACATTCCGTGCCTCGGCTCGCGATTAGGCAATGCATCTGAACCTTCTCAAGGGATGAGGTGTCATATGCTGACGATTGGTGTACAGGAACGTGTCCGCTCCTTCCTGTCGTTCGTTACATCAACAGCTGCCTTCTGGCATGGTCACAATGGCGCAGACGGCTAGCATCGTCGTTGCGGGCGCGTCGATAGCAGCACTCGTGTCGCAACCCGCGCTGAGAGGCAATCTGATGGCTATGCTCGCCAAATGGACAGGATACAACGCGCCTGGAGGCGTGTGGAGGATAGCAGCGATTCTTCTCGCATTAGCCAACCTCAAGAATTTGCCGTTCGTATGGCATGTACGTACTGAGCGAAATACTTGGGACCGCAACATCAAGCTGACTGACATAGCTACGCTTCATTCGTGCCTTCTTCTATCAGCTCTATCTCCAACCGACCCCGATCCCTCCGCATGCGCTCTTCCAACCGATCATAACCTCGACCCGCACTACGCTCCTCGAAACAGACTACAACATGCACAAGTCCAACAGCACTTACTTTAGCGACATGGACATATCACGTACACATCTCTTCACCGCGCTTATCCGCAACGGTATCAGGAAGAACAGTCGTCTCTATGGTGCCAAGAAGAATGCAGTAGCAGGAGCCGTAGGTGCAACGGAAGGCACACGGGGTAAGCACATGATTGCGCTAGGTGGCATAAGCTGTCTGTTCAAGAAAGAGATACTGCCGTACAAGAAGTACGAGATGTGGACAAGACTTCTCTGCTGGGACAGGAAGTGGTTCTATCTAGTCACACATCTAGTCAAGCCTGGTGTAGGACAACCAGAGAGCTGGACACTGCAACCTTGGAAGAAGTCTAAGAGCAACAAGGACGTGGATCCCGAAAAGCTGAAGGGCGCTGTATATGCAACTGCGATTGCAAAGTATGTTATCAAGAGAGGCAGAATTACAGTCCCACCTGAGCAGGCGCTGATCGATGCCGATATGGTCCCAATGAAGCCAGAAGGCTGGGTCTATCAGGGCCAAGTACCTGAAGAATATGAAGCGAATGGCGATGTTCTGCCTAAGGCTGTCGAAGCGAAGGATTGGAACTGGGACGTTATCGAGGCAGAGCGATTAAGGGGCTTGAAGGTGGCTGAGAACTTTGCAGCAATGGACGGCATGCACGACTTCTTTGATGGCGGAAAGGATGGGGTTTTGGGAGAATATCCGGATTTGTTATTCTAATTGGGGTTGATTCACTAGAGAGAGCTTGATACCCTAGATCTGAAGGCAGGCTTGCGACATAGAACGGCGAGGCTGATGTGAAAACGTACTTTGGAAAGCCGATAGGTATTATGACATTTACATGGGTAATCTTCTCACACACGTTATCTGCTTTACCACCATTGGCAGAGGCGGTTGTCTCCATGGTTGGTGTAGGGAACACTAGCGTTGCGCTAAGCCACTGGTGTACTCCGGGCCTGCGCCACCTTTTCCAGTGCTGCGGTTGATAATCACCGGTCACCACATGTAGCAGGCCAGCTATATGGGGCCGCGATCCGCTGGTTCAGCCTTATGGCTCTCAGACTTCGATGCCTTTATGCGACTAACATAATCCACTGACCAGCAGGGCGCAGGTTGTCAAAGGCACTCACACCGAGCTCATAGTCTTTCTTCTGGTACTACGATATATCCACATAACGGACACCCCAGCAGTCATGGCCGCAACATCGAGCGTTTCTGGAATCGGAGGTCCAGACATGGCTTACATCGGAGAACTTTACGAGAATATATCCCGACACCCACCGGGCATAGGTGCTAGAAAGCTGCTTATTGAACATTACATGTCAGTCGGCAACGAATGGTTAGAAGGAGCATTAGACGAGGCAAAGAAACTTCAGAGTTTGGATCCAACAGACCCTGATGTTGCCGAGTTCTTGAAGATTCTCGAGAAGAAGCCAGAACCTCCAGCGCCCGAAAAGAAGGCAGCCGAAGCCAAGCCCGCGTCTTTGACGCAATCACGGGGCGAGGTTATCAACAATGTCCGACATAAGGCTAAACCGATACGTAAACGTGAACCAAACCACCCGGACTTGATCCTGGGAAAGCCGGTCGGCGATTTGGACGATTCGCAGCGAGACCTGGTCATTGGATACCAAAATATACGTGCAAAGGCAACTCACGTATTCGCTAACCTGCTACGTCTACAGGCCCTCCAGAGGAAAGCCGGCTTGCCCCAATCCAAAAACCTCGGCAAAGTCCATGCTATGGTAGATGGTGACGATAACGCCACCTACATTGGGATGCGACCGCCTGCAAGTGCTCGTTCTGTAGCGCGCAATGTTCGGAACAACTACAAAGAGGCCACCAAACTTGTCATAACAGACCTGGAAGCCATGCTCAAGTGGGTTCGCGCGCCAAATGGCACGCCTTCAGGCGAAAGTATTGATTCCATCCGCGATGCTCTTGTCACACGTCGGAGAGCAATCGAATCGGCGCTTCCTGACGAGCTAAAGATCCATTGCGAGCTAGGCTTCATGCACGTTGAGCATGAGCATCTCGAAAGAAATTATGTCAATGACGAGACTATGCTCGGAGACGAGGTCAAGGATATCGCAAGGGAGGACTTCTACGTAACTGAAGACAACTACGCGTGGTCGATGGACGGTGCGTAATCCTACATGTGCGAACTATACGTGCTACGTTTACTGACTTCATAAACCCTCTTTAAGAACTCGTTCAGGCTATACAGGCAAACAGTGGTATATTTCGGAACCCTCTCAGCAAAGAGATGTTCACACCGAAAGATGTCAAGGGAATTCTCCTACATCCAACAGGCCGCTCTTTAGCGGCTCTCCGCGTTGAGCAGCACAAAATGTCCAAGGGTGTGCGGACTGATACGATCGTCCGGATGGAGAAGCTATCAGCGGTTTTGCTGGAAGATCAAAGCAGCGATAACCTCCCCAGTCGAAAAGCAGTAGACGAGTTTCTTCTTTATATCGCAACCCGTAAGTCATCGCTTAAGACGATGGCGCTCTATCAGCTAACATCGTAGCAGTGCCAGACCTTGAGCAGAAAGCGATAGAAAGTCTTAAATGCCCTGCCAAAGACTCACACACCGGACAGTATTATGACTTCACCATCGGTGAGGCAGTACGGGATGCAAAAGGCAATCTCGTATGTTTTCACAAGACGGGCGATTTCATCAAGCAAGCCGCTGCACACTTGCGAAGGAACTGTGGTGTCGCCCCAGACACAGAGCAAGGGAACTGTTCAGCCATGTGAGAGCTTTTAGCAGCTTCTTCGGCTCAGATATTGATCCTGTGTATTTCGCGATAGCCGTTAAGTGCCTTCTTGGGTGATACGTTATGCCTAACGGCTGTAGGCGGCTGTAAAAATATGGGCTATGGTCAATCACACCACACAGGCAATCATTCCAATGGTATTCTAGGTTACGGCCTTATGTATGGAGATATTTTGCGATTGGATGATGCCGGTTTCCGGCGCGGCACCCAAGGACCTTTAGATTATACAGCCCACAAGGCATCCCCACACCCCACTTGCGAGGCTCATCTGCCAAGTGTTTTCCGCCAGTGGTCCTCTACATTGGATTCCTATGTTCGTATATTCGCTAACCGTTGTCTAGTACCGTGGTCAGCCTAACCAATCGCCATGGCCCTAGCTGTTTTGGGAGCCGGTCAACTTACATTCGGTACAAACCACCCTATTCAGCCTTGTGCGCAGCCACAGAGTCTTGGTTTCCTGCAGTAACAGCCCACCCAACACACGGACAGCATACCTAGGTACTCGATTGGACTTATGCGTTCGAAGTCACGCCCAATAATGGGTCTCCAATATCTGATGTTCGTACTTGCTCATCAGGTTCACTTACCTCAGCCGGTTGGCTGTACCTCCTCGAACACCACCAAATCTTTTGTTACTCCAGACCTTGCTGGTCTCCCAATCATATCAAACAAGCACGGGTGGGTCGTACTCTTAGGCGCATCGCTCTGGGTAGTCACAATTTGCTCGGATGTTCTCATATCTCTTTCCCAAGTACCAGATCCATAGATACTTTGGCACGAACCGTTCGCGACAAGACTACAAGCAGCCCTGTCTCCTAGTCCCACTTTATCACATATTCTTTGGCAAAAAGTAAATATTACAAAGACACACGACAAGCATGGACGCCGCTATTATCATTCCTCCTGTAGCCGGACGAACTACCGACAAACGCTCACGTATGTCCTGGGCCAAGAGAACACTCCCCTTGAAGAATCCGACGTTCTTCAAGAAGGTCGAAGACAGTCAATTATGGCATGAAGAGGTGGAGGCCACTGCTGGGCAACTGCACCCCTCAGATCCTCGGTTCCCATGGGGCTTCGTCCGTAACCACACCGATACCTATCTCAAGAAGAAGGGCAAGCTTAGTCAGGAAGATACAGATATAAGACTGACAAAACTGGTTCAAACACATCGGGCAAGAGATATCGCTGTAGCTGCTGTAGCACATGCTATGACAACGCAAAGCCTCAGCCTGTTACTACTTGCTGAAACGAATATCGTATATGGAAGTTACTGGGGTCTCGACACATGGCTACAGAGCTTGATAGCCGCGAATGAAGGCAACCCTGCCTCAACAACACGTTTAGAAGCGCAATGGGCACGTATGCTTCTGCCTTATTCCACTTTCGGTGCCAGCGCAGCCGGCCGCTACCTGAAGGGCGTGACGCGCGCCCTGAAGGAGTTCGAAACACGGAACATGCAAGGTGTCCTTGGTAACTTCGCAGCGATTTTACGCAGAGCCATAAAGGATTATGCAGCCCAACTGGAAGGTCTCCGATTAACATGTGACTGGGTCGCAGCTAAGCAAGCAGTAGACTGGATGAAAACACTGGACGTATCGTTGCCTCTAGATTCATCAGGCACGCTTAGCATAGAAATTATCTTCGATGAGCAATTTCCGGCCTGGAGGATGTGGGCTTCATGGAGACCAGACGTCGATCGCCTCACACAATATTCCAAGTTAAACAGCAGATGGACGTCGACTATCCTCGATCTGTTGGCCTTGGAAGGGCCTGATCTGGTTACTGGCGCCGAAAGGACATTACGCCATGGGTTGGTAGCGGACTATAGCGAGCAACGCCGATGGATACACTATCGTAGTCTGGTAATCGAAGTTCCCGGGCTTACAAGAGTATGCTTAGCCACCGTGTTAGGAAGACTCTTGCGAGGCTTGGATTCAGTTTCTACGTCAATATCCTATGGTGAAAGCCTATTCAACCTCTTCCGATCTTTGACGATAGGACGAGCGATCACCAAGAGCGAGCTAGATCTTTTGGATGCGTCCCTGGAGATTGGCCATAAATCCAAAGACGATTACTTTACCGCTGTTCGTAGAATATGGTCTGAGAAAGAGCACATTTGTGGAATGCATATCAGCCCCCTTCAACGGCTTCTTGTTATTCTCGAGGAACCTAAAGCGACAACTTTCCGCGAACTTTTCCTCCACGATTGGCTCCTTCATGGCTTTGAGGAATGCTTCCGCGAATGCCAACTTGTCATACGAGAGCAGGTGACTACCCCTGCTTGGCTACGTCTACTACTCGAGCTACATGGATTTTGTACTGCCGTTAAAGCATCCACACACGTATTTCCGCAGCTGAGGCTTGAGTTCCAGACCAAGATGCGAGATTGGCCAAGTGACAAACGAATGGCTTCGATCAAGGAGATCTATATCGCAGCTCAGAATTTGTGTTTAGATGAAGTGCAGACAAGGAATGCATTTGTTTGGGTTGACCCTGACATCACCACTGGGTCCATCTTATCAAGATCCTATTCAGAAGACATCAAGGCGCGACACTCGATAGAAGTAATCATCGAGAAATACTGTCTCGACCACCTACTGAATATGGACGCGACTTGCAATACTGTTGACGGAGCGTTGCGCGATATCTTGGAGGTCTGGGAGAACACTGTGGAAGGAGTGAATGACAGTGACCGGCGCATGCTCGCAATCCTTGTTTCGAGAGATATTGGTCACTCTGTAGTACATCGCTGCGAGTGCATTTTTGAGCTTACTGTAGATCTCGGTCTAGGTCAACAATCTACGTTTGTTGGGGACATGTTACGTATCGTTAAAGTGGCGGAGAATGATTCGCGACAAGCCATCATTGCCTTGACGAACATTCTGGCCATCCGAAAAGGATGCACGCAGTGTTGGAGATCTCTCTTGTACAGATGGC